TTCGTTAGCTTGCCACCTGTCCTCATAGTGATGACTGAGCTCAATGCCGCTAGGTATGTTGAAAGCGTAGACCCTTTTAGCCGCTTTGTTTGCCGTAGGTGACAAAGGTAGTCCGCCACTTGAGGGTGTGATGCTTTTCTAGCTGAAAACCCGTTTCTGGCAGCATATGTCTCGAAGCTTCACCACTTGTCGTCGTACAAGTTGCGTGTAGACTTGTGTAAAGCTAGTGTCAATGCTTTCGCTGCTCTGGCGGAGTACCCTCTCTTGTTCAAGCATGACTTGATACAGTCCACACGTGTAGTTGGAATGTCCCTGGCTGTCGCCGGCGCTCTGCTTTGTGTGAGGATGTATGCGAGTAGATTCGACCACTCTGGGAGTTACAGCTGTGGTGGTCCTAGTTTTTGTATGAGAATGGGGAACCACATTCTCGCTGGCCAGTAGGGCGCGACCAAAATCTGTTGGAGGTTCCTGGTCCAGCTGATTTTCTGCAACACCCTCGGTTATAGCGCTGGCGGTGGAAACGCGTACGCGTTGAGACCTTCCCAGGATATGCTGAGAGCGTCCGCTGCCCACGCTTCGTGGATCTGGTACTGGAGAGACGAATGTTGTCAGCTGATTGTTGAAACGTGTGGCTTAAGAGGTCTATCAGCGGGGCTCCTATCTCCTTGATGATCTGTTTGAAGATCTCGGGATGTAGCATCCTATCCGGCGGAGATGGTTGAGTTGGACGGGAGAGTGCGTCTGCTATGACATTCCTGGCTCCTGGAATGTGGCATGCTCTTATGTGGATGTTCAGATCGTCCATTAGGTCGAACAGTTGAAAGCAGAGGTCCAGCAGGTTCAATGATCGTGTTGATCCTTGCTTGTTTATGTAGAACGCCACTGTGGAGTTGTCCGTGTGTACCATGAGATGCGCATTCTGTAGAATGTTGCTCCAATGGAGTATGGCGTTGACGACTGCTTTCATTTCCAGCATGTTGATGTGCAGACTTTTCTCTTCCTTGGTCCATTTCCCCGGTTGCCACATCGTTGTCGAGATGTGCTCCCCAACCTTGGAGTGACGCGTCCACATACAGATGAGTCTTGCACTCCGGCTCTGCTAGATAGATGCCTTCGCAGACATTCGCTCTCTGGGTCCACCATAGTAGATGAGGTCTGAGGTAGTCCGTGAGACCGAAGGGTTCTGGGTCGTCGAGATGAGCATTGATGAGGACCTGTAACGGGCGTAGCTGTAATCTCCCTCTGGCTGTCATGTCTTGTGTAGACGTGAGGAGACCCAACAGACTGTGCCACTGTCGTAGTGGCCACGGAGAGAGTAGGGCTTGTGGGATTGTCTGTTGAATCTTGAGCCATCGGTCCTCTGGTACGACGATGCGGTTCTGCGTCGTGAGAAATCTCATGCCTAGGAACTGCAGGTCCTGCGTAGGTTCTAGGTCCGACTTGAGTAGATTCACTAACCACCCCAGCTGTGTAAGCAGTTTGATGGTAAAATTCAACTGTAGTCTGAGATGCTTGGGATCTTGATGTACTTGAATCCCGTCGTCGAGGTAAAAGGCACTGCGTAGACCTCGATGATGTAGATATATGACTATGGGTTTCGTCACCCTTGTAAACAACCAAGGGGCCGATGATATTCCAAATGGCAGGACCTTCCATTGGTAATGTAGCCCGTCCAGTGTAAACCTGAGGTACTTCCTCGAGTCTGGATGTACAGGAATATGCAGGTAGGCGTCCTGTAGATCTATGCTGGCCATGTAGTCCATCGGACGGACGAGGTGGATTAGTTGAGGTAGATGTATCATGCGGAACTTGGGAGGTCTGCTCAGATATTCTCTGTTGAACGTGCTCATATTGTAGATGAGTCGGAACTTTTCTTTGGAGTTTTTCTTGGGCACTAGGAAAACTGGAGAGTAGAACCCTGGCGTGATGTTGGTTTGATCCACGACCTCTATGGCTCGCTTTACTAGTAGAGATAAGACCGCCTCTCGTAACATCTCTATCTGATGAGTCTTGAAGTCGAACTTGTGATGGTCGACTGTAAGCCGTGGAGCGGCCTGTAGTTGTATGCGATATCCGTTTCTTAGGATGTTGGATATAAACGGATCTTGAAGTATTCCCCAGTTTTGCCAGTGTAGTTGAAGGCGTCCACCCACTTGTGAAGGTTGTACAGGAACGGCTGGGGGTGGAAGGCTCCAGTCGTTCCGAACCCTTCTTTCATCGTCGATAACTCTTGGCGCCTCTGGGTGCCCTGCCTCGTCCGGACCTTGCTCTGTAGTTGCCGGCTGGGCGACGAAAGGAACTTTTTCCGCCTCTGGAGCTACCCACTGTCTTGTCCCGTGCTCTCTGTATCCCAGGAAACTTGGACTTGCCCGAGTAGAGCTGGGATGTTTGCCTGATGACGCTGGCCAGAGTATCTATGGACTTGATCATAAGGACCTCCCTTGAGTCTTTGGTAACTTCCTTGGCAGCCTCGTCGATTCCAGCGAAGATGGAAGGAGTTGTGTAGAGTGACTTGGTAAAGTGGTCACTCCAACTGCAGGAGGCGAGGAGACCTTGTCGACGTGCCAGTGTCAGCGCTGTGGAGATGGATGAGAGATGGTCTGTCATAAACTGTTGGTCCTTCTTCTGCATAAGGAGGGCAGAATATATCATCCTATCTTCTTCCGCAGTAGAGTCTCGGAATTTAGCTATGAGCGTTTCGTTGACTGCCCTTGATCTGTTGAGGCCGAAGAACATGAGCCTGGACATAGTTTCAACTTGTGCCAACTTTTTGTCTTCAATGTTGTAAGACTTGGCCTTGGCATCACTGATGACTTTGAAGTTCTCATCGATGTCCTGTGCCTTCAGGAATGGATCCATGTTGTGGAAGGAGAACTTTTTGGCGTTGAACTGTGGTAGATGCGGCGCCTGGGCTTTTGTGGCTGACTTGAAGGTTGCATCCAGGTTCTCGGGGAACGCTGTGATCGGATCAATCGGAGGGAGAGTGACCGTGTCGACATCATCATCCTGCATGAGATAGGTGTGAGCCGGATTATCATCCTTAGATAGTGATGCCAAATCTAGACCGTTGGCCATCCAGTAGCGTATTTCAGCGTCCGAAAAGATGATTCCGCCGTCATCCTCAATGACAGGAGTGTTGAGTAAGGGACGTTGATCCTCCTCCGATGGTGATCGAGGTGGAGTCCTTTGCGACTGCGGTGACCTATGTGGAGACCTGCGCGGAGACCTGCGTGGAGATCGGCGTGGCGAGTGGCCCGGCGAACTGCGTCTGTAGGGTGACCTCTGCGGAGATGAGCAACTGTAGGTTCGCGAATGTCTTGGCGAATCCCTCGACGATCTGCGTGATGCAGAAGATGTCTTGGATACTGTATCTGAAGTCCGAACGCTGATCATCTGATTTCGCATCTGGGGAATGGCGACTGGTCCTTCGCGAACGCTGGTCGTCCGATTCTGTATCCGGGGATGGGCGATTCCTCCTTTGCGAACACCTTCGTGAATGCTGATCGTCCGAATCCGTAGCAGGCGATGACCGAGTCGTTCTTCGTGAATGCCTTCGCGGATGCTGATCGTCCGAGTCCGTCGCAGGGGATGGTTGAGTCGACCTCCGCGCAGGCTGGTCCTGCAGTGTAGATCTGCTGCCAGACGTCACGTTGATGGAGGGCCCCTCAGAGACGACGTCTGCGTTGGAGCCTTCACGAAGGCTCAGGACCTCTTTGTGGGCTGGCTGTGACTTCTTCTCCAGGCCGTAACGCTGCTCCATCATCTCCATGATTTGTTGGGAGAACTGCTGCATAAAATCCCCGGGGTTGAAGGTCTGCGGTGGTAGTAGCGCTGCCCTTTCTGCGGTGATAGCGACGTGGCCCACAGGACGCTCATCTGTTGTCAGCGTAGATATCTCGGGTTGCGTGGAGACCGTAGCTGAGACTGGTCTTTTCTTGGGACGAACCTCTGGGATGATGATCGGTTGATCATCGTAGAGTCCCTGTTCTGTCAACGGGACAATCTCGGCTGAGAAAGTCCGTGTTGTCTGCGCTGACTTCCCCGTGGTGGTCGATGACGCCCTGGGGGTGCGGAGTCTGCGCTGGGTGGTTGACCATTTCCGAGTCTTAGGCTGAGACGACGGGATGTCCGGAGTAGCAGGTCTCTCTTCTTGGATGTGGCGGACTTCGTCCCACGCCTCTCCTCCGAGGGAAACTCCAGCGGAACACCAGACCGAAGGGGGGCGTCAGACAGCAGTTGACTGGTGAGGGACTCTGCTGATTTATCCATGACTGGACCAACCCGTCTAGACCTATCTGCAGCACGTCTAAGGACGGAAAGAAGGTATTTATTAAATGCACAAGTAGTTAAATGCTTGCAATTAATGCAGCGGGAGCTGAAAGAACTTGGTACCGTGCAGCTAGGGCACAATTGATGAGGGTCAGTAGCAGAGAAACATAATCTACAATTGGAACAGTTTTTCATGAACGTAAACAACTGAACAAACACGGACTAACCCGTGAATAAACAGTGCTAAATACGATTAAATATGAAACCATATTGTTGAAAGATACTAGCTAAACCTCTATAAAGTATAATAGAGGTGACTAAGTAAGTAATAAAAGGATATAGTGCCGTATAGGAGACACAGGCGCTCTCACAACCTGCTCACAGGGCGAAGAAGGAGAGAGTGAAGCTTGGGAAAACAGTGGCGCCAGTTTTCCCGCCAAAACCGGAAACAGAGATAACTCTGGTGAGTAGTGATTTTACGTACGTTTTATTGAAGGGAGCTTCAATAAGGAGATACAAGTGTTCCACTATGTTCGCAAGAGGAAAAAGACAAGCAAATAAGCATGAGTCAGGATAAGGAAAAATTGAAACTTGTTGCAGTTAGCATGCTTTTAAAAAGACAAACATGCAGTTCAGGCAGTCCAGTCTTCGTTCTTGACAGCTTGTAACTGACCATGTTCTAACACTGAAATGTACTGAAAATGGTGTATAATGGTGTCGGTTATGCTTACATCAGTGATTGATGAGTAACTTCCGTCATCACCTATCTGTATTTTCCCAACTTTCCCTACTTTTCTTTCTACTTTGACCGGTTTTATGCATTCCTGAAACAGACAATCAATTTGAGTCATTCTGCATATCAAGAGAGAAAACAAATACAATCACGGTAAGGGACACCAGAGGTTAGCAAAGCTCCCTGCCAGCTGCTAGATGCATCTCAGAAACCTTTCGAGAACAGTGTCTCTAAAAGAAGTCGAAATATTTAGATATGTAACCTGGGCACAGTTAACAACATATAAAACAGAGTTTTAAATTCACAGAACTGGCATGAATATCCCGCACAAAAAAACATCAAAACTTACAACTTTACGCCAACTTACATATGCGTTTATTGTTATAACAATCTATTTTGATATCAAAACAACATGACACAGCGAAATCTTGTCGTCTCTAAAGGATTCATTGTTCAACGTGGGATAAACTTTCTATTTATCATATTGCGAGACAAACACAGTTCTCCTTTTCTTTTGCCAGCATTTATAGTATCAGTGATATTGTTTTTACAAGGAAAGATTAATCCAAACGTTGGAAAAGATCTGTCGATTTTCACATCAAACAGGCTTATCCCATGACCATGTGTGTCCGACTGTCAGTCAAAGTGTGGGTCATCAGCTGGCATGACTTACGTTACAAATTTTGGTTACATAAACTTTCTATTCTTAGAAATGTGGATCAAATGGCACGATGGGTTAAACACTCCTAAACATATTGATTTTACAACTAACTGTGATTGTCAACAACCTGTGATGGTGTAATGAAATCATCTAAGTCAGTTAACTGAAGTGCTCCACTGAACTGAGAGGCCATGTTGATTTTCTGGAAATGTGTAGATGCTATTTAGACGACAACGTATTTCTGTGCAAAACTATCTGCATTACATTTTGTTGAATATATCGAAATAACATATTCGTATTAATGTTAATATATCTTACTATAATGTATAAAACTATATAAAGGACCATTTTGAAAATATATGCTCTTAATAATAAAAATAACTTATAATCGTGTTCATAAATGTAATTAGTTCTACCTTAGTGAATGTATGAAAATAGCTCAACAAATGAAAGGGGTTCATATCTATTACTGCGGGGATAAGGGTACCTGTTTCCGGTGATTACTTCCGGTAACGAGTTCGACAGTTAGGGTGACATTAACATTTGACTGTTCTTGCACTCTTTTAGCCATTGACTTGGCACCATGAGTATTTCAAGCACCGGAGGAGACCCTGTCATTCTAGCCACGGCGGGTTATGACCATACTATCCGATTCTGGCAGGCATACAGTGGCATTTGTAACCGTACTGTACAACACCCAGATTCAGTATCCTGTCAAACTATGGGAATTTAATTTAAGTCCACGATTAGAATACAGTTAACACGAAATTGTGCATCATTTATTTGTAGCAAAATGTAAATATCAATGGTCAAGTATTTCTGAGTTTACAGTCAAACATGTTAACTGTAATGTTGACACATTTGTAAATGGATCATTAACGTATGGATGTAGTATGAGCAGCATTCCAGTGTGCTATGTTACAAGAAAACATATTCAGTAATGTATGTAGGATACTCATGTGCTGTGATGCATGGATATGCACCATGCAGTCAGATTTAGATGAGCCCAGACTACAACATGAACTGCTGTCTGTTTTGGGTTTAGGAATATGGACTTTTCACCCTTATAGGGTAATGGGTTATGTTCTGTATTCTCAATTTTGCAAGGACATGTTCCTGCATACTGAAATATACCTGCCGTACAGATCTGTAGTAACCATGCCAACAACATTCCCTTGAGCCTTAATTATTTGCAGAACAAAATGTTGAGACAATGGGTTACCACATATTCCTAGTTCAAATATATTCCCCAAGGAGCATCTCCAGTACAGGTTTCAGCCCCAAAACATATGCATATCTAGGCAAGATATAAAGCAGTTTAAAGGCTTTAACTGTGTCTCACATTCTTTACTACATGATACATCTCTCTATCTCTTGATATCTTTTTATGGTGGTCCTGTTAACTGTGTTGAATTGTATGAGTTTTACCTTAAATCATTCTCAGCAAGTAAATGCATTGGAAATTACACCAGACAAGCAACTGATTGCAGCTGCAGGTAGGTTTTCATCTTAAGTATATAACCCTGCTGATACATCATGGCACACAGAGCTCCAGATAAGATGTAGCTCATGTGGGTACTGTACCCACTGTATTTTTTTGGAGTGGGTATTATGAATGTTGAGTGGGTATTTCATTTTCCGTTACCCACTGCTTTCAAATATGTGCGTATTTCAGTCATTTTACTCACCTAAGTATTATGTGACTGAGTAAGTTTACTAAGCAGGTATGCCTTATGTCACACCTAATCAAAACCAACTTAAATATAATGGAAATGATTTCATAAAAAATCACTCATCCTATACTGACAGTACAACACTTGTCCTATACTAACAGTACAACTTGATAGGAATCGATGTCTTTTTCATTACACAAGGGATTTTTATAAATATATTCCGTACGCATTTGTTTAAACTTTTTGCGTATCTAACATTTTAAATGTGTAATTTGTACGCAACAATTATTTTTCAATGCGTAATTGGAAATTTTATAAGCGCATTTTACCCGGATACGCAGCTTATCTGGGCCTCTGGCACATTAGTACTGGTCAGAAATAGAAGTGTATGTGACAAATTATTTATCACTGTACATCAGTATGATGTTAATGCCATTTTCCTTTGTATATGTTTCAATTATCATATGTTTACTTATAAACAATGGATGCTTGACAAGTGGCATTCAGGAACACATACTTTGTATACCACTCTGATGAGTGTAAATTGGCACGGCTCCCATGGCTGTAAGCTATAAATATATATTGCTGTTATATTGTTGACTGCAGAGGACAAAACCATTTACTTACTCATTCATTTTTCAAAACTAGCACTATGTATCGGGTATGTTTACTGACAAGTACTTGAATGTCCTTTTTGAATATGTATATGAAATATGATGACAGGACTGTAGGGTAATGTACTCAGATATATGCCGTATGTAGGCAAAATGTACTACATTCTTGTGTTTGTCTTTGTTAGGGTACCAGCATATTCGTATGTATGACCTCAACTCTACCAACCCCAGTGCTGTTATAAACTATGATGGAATATCCAAGAATGTATCGGCAGTTGGATTTCATGAAGAAGGGAAATGGATGTACACAGGGGGCGAGGACTGCACTGCCAGAATTTGGGATCTTAGGTGAGGGATTTACAATGACAGTGTTGACGTGCAGTGTTATCTGACACATACAGAATAAATAAAGATCACTTTCAGTATATCAAGGCTAAGCTTTGTGTTTGCAATTTCCTTACCTGAGGCTTAATATATTTATTCTTCTACTGTTTTTCACACACAATTTATTTAAAGTGAAAAAGATCAAAACATCATGATTATGTTAAAAAAAATCATGCACTGTGGCCATGGTAGCAGTGTCATTGATGAACCAAGTTATTTGATAAATCATGTTGATATGTATTTCCTTCAGATCAAGGAATCTTCAGTGTCAGAGAATATTCCAAGTAAATGCTCCAGTTAACTGTGTTTGTCTCCATCCGAATCAGGTATGTGGTGTCATTTTCACAATATTTCTTCATTCTTTTTCTTCACAACATATTATTTGCTTACATTTATTTTCAAATATTTCACTATGAGATTTCTTAACATAAAACAACTGATTTTGTTGCATGTTTTGACTCTTAACATTGTCTAATTTGTGTTTCAGGGAGAGCTGTTTGTCGGTGATCAAGCAGGCTCTATTCATATCTGGGACCTCAAGACAGACAATAATGAACACTTTGTATGTAATATGTGAGGCTTGAAATTTAGTTGCAAAATGAATAATTTGACTATATCCTCAGTCTTTTGAGATATGAATGAAAATCTGTTCTTGTTTGTGTTCTGTTGGTGGAAATAATATAAAAATAGGTTTATGTTAGTGAAAGAAAATATGCTTTTTCAAGGTAGACAATATGATTTAACCACCAGTAGCAATACTTGCAATGTAGATATTTGAGAACAATATGCTTTTTGGTTTGCAGTTGAAAAATGTGAGAATATAGTGAAGACATTTGACTTCAAGTAGAACTCCACCATATAGCTGGAATATTGCTGAGTGTGGCGTTAAACAAACAAAGCAAACAAAATTTAGTAGAACTTGTAACATCTCTGCAAAATGATAGAAGTATCTGTACATAGCTACTATTAACCATTGAGAATCATGCCTTTCTAACCATTGTTGTATTGTTTAGATACCTGAACCGGATGCAGCTATACAGTCAATAAGTATTGACCCAATGGGAACAATGATGGCAGCTGTGAATAACAAGGTAAAATTATGCTCCGCACTCAAAATAGTTGAACACATTTTCTTTCCTTTTTTCACAACATTTTATCATACTCTGAATTAACATTGTATTTGTCCTCTCTGATGTTGCTTTCATTTGACTGTAATGAAGATCAAGGTTAGAATTGGTCTCCAGCAGCTCGTGCTTGTTGTAACAGGCAGTGATGCAATCAGGTGGGCTGACTCACTGACTGAATTGATACGGGTCATCTTATACCAGTTGCATAGATCAATGCTTATGATGTCCGTCACTGGATTGTCTGGTCCAGATGTGATTGTTTACAGTTGCATGTTATTCAGTCGGAATATTGCCAAGGGTGGATGTCAACAACAGACATTTTCTTTGGTTAAGTCTTGGAAGAGTTACGTCCCTTTATCTGGTTTGACAAGCAGCCTTCAAATGCAAGTCATGAAGTTAGAAATACCGGTACACTGAAAAATGAAACACTCCATTTTATTACAGATCTTTGTTTTGCCAAAATGCAGAAGATGAAAAGGTCAAATTACCTTTTCAAGTTCATCAAGGTTAATATAGTTACCAAATTAGCAGGGACTGGGAGTGTTTTCAATCCAACACAACTGAGTTTGCAACATGAGGTTTTCCTCACCAGACAAAATGTGAATAGCTCTGGCCTTTGCAATTTAGAAATATGTAAATTATACATTAGTCAATATTTGCAACAATATTGATTTTGCTCCAAACAATGTGCCCACATTGGTGCAATGTGTGAAGTCCATTTCTTGTGTCCCCCGCTGTGATATTGCTGGAATATTGCTAAAAGCGGCATAAAACCATACTCACTCACTCCAAACAATGTGAATAGTTGCTACACCTTGTTCCTGCACTGCACATAATACTGCTTCCTGCTCAGGGCAATTGTTACATCTGGACATTAACTGGAGGAAAGAGGGAGGAACCAACACAACTTCACCCCAAAACTAAGTTCCTGGCTCACAACAGATATGTTCTCAAGTGCCTGTTTAGTCCTGATTCAACGTAAGTACCAACTTCTCCATCATGCTCCATCAACAGAATGTGAAGACTGGTGCATCATGGTCTTTGTAAATATTGTCTGTTTAGCCAAAGACGTATATATACGTCTTTGGTTTAGCGTTGTCAACACACACTATATTCCATGTTACATAAACATCTGCCTTATTGAATTTGTAGTTTGGGCAGGTGACTATCACGAAAAAAGCTAAAATTGTTGTCTGCTCTTGCATTGGAAGAGTTTTTGCTGTCTACAGAGATGAATTTGCCAAAATTCAGAACTAATCATGACACCAAACAATTAATTGTTATTTTCAAATCAAGAAGTATAAACATTTACTGGAATTGCCAGGCTGTTAGGGATGTCTACAAGTACTGTTCAGTGTTGTTGAAACTTTTCATGTGACTGGAAGTGTGGCAAAAATAGCCATGTGTATATTAGAGAGAGGCCAATGAAGCCAACCACTTGTGTGTATGTCAATTACGAGAGTGATATTTTCTGTTATGGTGGAGGGTGGGGGGGTTGGTTTTGTGCCCCTGAAGTAAATATAAACTCTCAGAAGTACCGTATATTAATATAATGGATGATAATTTGTGGCCAGTATTAGCAAGGCACCTTCCAGACGAAAATTACCAGGATGACATTGAATACAAAGAACAGAACAATCTTAGGCGTCTGACTTCATAGTCACTGTATTTGAACATCCTAGAAAATATTTGGGCGAAAATGAAAAAAGCAGTCTAGTTGACCTCCGGAACAAAGAGAACCACCTCCGTGGTGTAGTGGTTAGAACGTCTGCCCGGAGAGCGGAAGGTCCCTGGCCACGTCATACCAAAAGACGTTAGAATATGGTCCTTGTTTGGCCCAGCCTGGCGCTCCGCATTAATGGGTACAACAAGGACTGGTCGGTTCAGAGTCAGTATAATGTGACTGAGTTGGGTATTCATGCTTCACTGCGGCATGGTATCTCAGTGGGCTAACACTATAAAACCAGGTTAAGTCTGGGCTAGTACAAGTAGCCACACTTACACACTCATGCACGTCATCATATGAGTGAAATATTCGTAAGTGCAACGTTAAACCCCATTTCACCTCACCGGAAGAAAGAGGAGTTGTTTGACACGATCATGGACGTATGGGTCAACCTGACTATATTCACACACTATATATGTCTGTAGCAGAATGTATGCGAGCAGTAATGAAAATAAAGGGTCATCTGACCAAATATGAAGGAAAGGCTGTGTGTTCATAATGTAAATGATCTTGCTGTTTCTGAACACAGATTGTTGGCTACAACTTCGGCAGATCAAAAGTGTAGGATATGGCGGACAGCAGACCTGACCCAGCTGACGGAGTTGAAGGACAGTCAGCAGAGATGGGTGTGGGACTGTGCCTTCAGTGGAGACTCCCAGTACATCATCACAGGTACCAGGGACTTTCAGGGTCGTTAGTCTTATAGGGATTCTGGGACATTGTATCTTTGTTGCAAGACCGATAGAAGGCAGATCAGTTGGACTGTATGTCTTTGTTCCATTGCAAAATTCACTGTTGCTTGTGCCATAAACTACTGGCTTGTCATTTTGAGACTTGATCATCAAATGTCACAGTGATGTGGCTTCCGTTTTGTTAATTTTTTGCTTGGCTTTATGTACCCATACAGAAATCTGGGACATTTTAAAGAATTTTACATGGGATATATTCGTTCCCACGAGGGGTGGTGGGGTATCAATGAGTCCATTTATATGGTGCCAACTCCATACACTATGTGTATGCTCATAGTGCCACAAATATACTATAATATCAATTTTAACTAGTGGCTAAGGCCCAGGTTCAATTCCCCACATGGGAATAACGGGTGATGCCCATTTCTGGTGTCCCCCACTGTGATATTGTTGGAATATTGCTATCAGCGGTGTAAAATCCAATTCGCTTCTTCACTCGCTCGGTCCCATTTATGTTAAGTGCACAATAGGACTATCTCTTACAACTCAGCTGCGACTACTTGTATGCGACTTCAAATCGTTACAATTGAGTGTTTTCACATTGGTACGGTGTTGTTAGTACAAGTCGCACCATGAGAATGCACCTTAAAGTGAGCGACACATGCACATAAATTGTAAGATGTACGCCTGCACAAATCTTTTTTTGTCAAATTTTTTTTTTCAAGCTATGTTTTATATTGTTAAACATTGTGCTTCAGCATCTTCTGACCAGATGGCCCGACTATGGAGTGTTGATTCAGGGGAGGTGAAGAAAGAGTACAGCGGACATCAAAAGAGTGTCGTGTGTCTAGCATTCCGGGACGAGGTGGTCACATGACCGCCTCACAGATGTTACAGAACTGTGATACCAGTGTGAAAGGACTGTGTGAAATGTTGTATGCGTGATGGCAGTTGGTGCAAAGAGACAAACATCAAATGAATTACCTGACCGAGTGTGAGACAGGCATAGCAGTCAGGGAGCGTGAATGAATACTGTTGTTGTAGAGACAGTTGTTGATGACTATTCCAGTCGGGGGAAGATACTGAACTGTGTGTTGTGATCATGGGGGAGCTAAACAATGCCTCAGGAAGCATTCTGTTTACTTACACTTTAGGTTAATCTTTTTGGAGAATCATTTCGTAAAAATAAAATCAGTAATTAAGTACAGTGAAACCTGTCTAAACTGGCACCCCACGGGACCGAGATAAAGTGCCGGTTTAGACAGGGTGCTGGATTAGACAGTGACGATCATTTTCCGTCATGGCTGCTATTTACACTCGTCAGTTTCTTTATCTCCATAATGCCTTTGATCTTTGTAATTGTGCAACAAATTTAAAGGAAGAGTATCAAAGTCATTGATAAGCTGAATTTTTTAACAAGTGTTAACTCCAACATGGCAGCCATCATGACACTCAAAGTGACGGACGAGTCAATAAAACCAATGCCTATTTATTTACTCTCTGACACGTCACTCACTTGAAAACCGTTAATGCAATCCCCCAGTGTTTATAAAGCATAACTGCGGTAGTCCTATGAGCGTTTGATTCCCAGTGCAGTCACTACTTCCTGATTATTTAGCGTGCCAAGAGGATTAATTAGTGTATTGGATTATGGGTCCTTGATTGGACTACTCATACCCATACCGGTTTAGACAGTGTTAATTACAATTAAAATTGTTTGTTGGGACCGGAAACTTGTGCCGGAATACGGAATAGACAGGTGCCGGATTAGACAATGTTTCAATGATGATAATATCGTTGTAAAGTGGCGGGACCAAAATTTTATGCTGGTTTTGACAGTGTGCTGGATTAGACAGGTGCCGGTGTTGGCAGGTTTCACTGTATATTGTTTAAAATAAATTGAAAAAAAGTATAGATATGTTTCTGAAAATATCTAAAGTTAACATTATATATTTACTGTTCTTAACAGATGATGTGACAGATTTTAATAGTTTTAATCCTTTAATCAGCTGATAGCTACAGGTTGCAGCGGTAAACAATGGACGTTTTGTTTCATGCCGGGTGGGTAGCCTAGTGGTTAAAGAGTTTGCTCGTCATGCCAAAGACCTGGGTTAGACTCCCAACATGGGCACAATGTGTGAAGCCCATTTCTGGTGTCCCTTGCCGTGATATTGCTGGAATATTGCTTAAGCGGCATAAAACTAAACTCACTCACTCACTCATGCTGGTCTTCTTGTGGACCCAGCAAGCCCCACATCTGAATGAAGATAAGGACAGACATTTCAGCTGAATTAACTATGGTTATTAACCTTAATTGTTTTAGTTTTAAAGAGAAGTTACTTTTTGATTTTAAAATCAGGGTTTTTGACGATGCTAATGAATCAAATGAATACTCTTTTATCATTCTATTGTTGAGATTTTGAATGCTTGTTGTGTTATTATACCACAATGTGAGCTTTATGTTGAATTGTCCATCCAACTCACTGTGGTAGTACTTGAACTATGCATAAATGATCTCATGGGCATGACTGACTGTTTGGATTCTCGTATTAAACATTCCATGTGGATGTTTTATGGGGTCAAGCACCTGCAGCTGTCGTTTGTTTTGTTGATTCTGTATTATTGGCACCGGTAGCTATGGAGATGCAGGTTGGGGGAATGGATGTTACAAGTATGTCTTCATAGAAATATGCCCCAGAAAGTTGCCTAGCAACTAATTGCAGCAATAAGTTCATTGTTCTGGACTTGGCTGGGATGAATTTTGTTACTTCATTTTTCTGTGAAAGGATAAGTTTTCCTCACCACATTTATCCAGGAAATTGGGTATGTCCATCGAACTTCTTGTCTTTATGAGGTACCTGTTTTACATGAGGACAAATTGTTTTTAAGACCTCCCATTCATGCATGTCACAGAAATTTATCATGCCTATCTCTTTGTAAAACTCACAAGCATTTAACAGTAAAATAAATGAATATCTGGTTTAGAATGCCTATTATCTTATCCTGACACAGGTAAGGGATATAACTCTGCACAGCATAATGTTAAATGTAATGTTTAGCTTTTATAATGTAAGTGTTGACAGCAGCAGATATCAGCCACAAATAATTGCTTTTAGTACAGACTAGATTCAGCATTGGTATTTGGTAGGTAAAACATAACATGCACAATAGACTTATGTCAGAATAGATGGTATTTTAAGAATGCATTCATTCACTGAAAATATTCGGTACTTCCTTGTAGCTTGGACAATGATTTCTCTAGAATTCCAGATTACCCAGGCAACTTTGGGAAAAAAATGCCATTTAAATCAAAATTGCTTTTTTTGTATTTGTCCAATACTCATTCAATATATGAATAGAAAACTGAGACGATTCACCTGGTGTTATTAGTGAAATGTTGGTCCCTCCTGTAAAGCCTTGACATTAGATATAAGAATACAAATTGGGAACACTTAATTGCTATTTGAGTAGTTTTGTTGACAATCATTGTAGACTGTGAGCTGGGTATTAGCAAAAGATATATCTCTGTTACATGTTGTGGTCCACTGGCTGCCTTGCATGTATCATCACAAGATATGTAAGCCAGAGTCCAGATGTGTGTGGCAACACTCTGCTGATTCCCTCATTGTTAATGTTGACCATTGTTGCTCATGTGTTCTGTTTATGTGACTGCTATCCCTGTTGATAAATGGTGCCAAGTTTGAAATAAATTGGTACAAATATTATTATTTCTGTTTACTGTCATGACTTTGTGGTTTGTGATCTGTAAGGCCACAATCAATCGAAGCCCATGCTGTTGATCACTGGATTGTCTGATCCAGACTCGATCATGCTTCCATATACCTGGAATATTGTTGAGTGTGGCATAAAACTAAACTCACTCAACCACTCCACATCAGATAAAGGTAATATGCACATGGATGTAGTTAAAGTCCATACTGCTATCATACATTCTTGCAGATATTTTTTGGCCAATCTCAATGCACAGATCTAAATATGAAACATATGAGGAGGTTTTGATGATCTGCTTTGTTTTGAAATATATCACTCGTAGGGTATTTACTATAATTGTATGATATCTGGAAATTGATATATGAGGGTTGACATAACAGTTCTGAAACTTACTTTGAAGGATGCACAGTACAGCCTTGACAGTTTGCATGTATTAAGAACAATGCTAACAAGCTCCATTTGAACTGGGCGGTGGGGTAGCCTAGTGGTTAAAGCATTTGCTCATCATGCGGAAGACCCGGGTTTGATTCCCCAATGTATGAAGCCCATTTCTGGTGTCCCAAGCCCTGATATTGCTGGAACATTGCTAAAAGTGTGTAAAACTAAACTTCCTCACTCACTCCTTTTGAACTTAAAACACACGGCATATTTCAGCAGATAAAATGACCAGGTATTGATGAATAATTGTTAAAAATCACCAAACATCATAAAACTGTAACTTTTAGCCATCAATGCAGACAAAGCGTCAACTTAACTTATGCTGCAGCTTCCTTTGCCAGTGTCAAGAGGTAGGCAGCGGAGTTAATGACAGGAAGAGAGGGCTTCGATGATCCAAGATCAGGAAGACCTTTAACCAACCATTGATGATTTGCATACACCATATGATTATGGAGGACGGCTCACTTCACATGGGCAATGCCACTGTCTGCATCTTTTATGATTGTGTTGGGATCCTTCAGAGAAAGGACAAAGGTTTCAGAACGACGGGGTTCCAAGGCTTCTGACTTCAAGAATGTCCCGGAATCATCATATCGAGCTATTTGTAAGTATAGAGGAGTCTTGAATTCACAGGTTTCAGCTGTCAACGTAATCAGCAGTCAAATAAGTGGAAACATCTTTCATCTTCAAAGACGCAAAATGTGTTCCATCAGCTTGCACGAGGATGACTTTGTTTTACGGGGATTCAGTAAGTCCGTTAATGGCCAATCTTATGCTCACCTGCTTATGCAATAGCGTGAGAATATCAAGGTTAACGCACTAATAGTATGTTGTTCTAGCAGACCTGCATTTGTGCTAAAGTCTGTTGCCATGGTGGCTGAAGTCATAGCTGTGGCTTGAACTCAGATTATGACACACATTCAGACTTGGCACCGCTATTGTTCCAATCGTTCCAAATTGAACGAAAACCCTATGTGACAAACGTGCAGATTGTGTCGACATGATGATGTGGCACTGTATCGTCGTTGGTAGAAGTCTCTGGATCGTGGAAGAGAGAGCTTACTTTGAAATGTATTTAGTGACAAACTCCATCTACGCAGTCCACCATTGTAAGCCTATTAAAATGTTCAGCAGTTTCTCATACCTAAAGCGTAAATGAAATTCCCTTGTTTTGATTTGCCAGTTCGAGCAGAACAATCTCACAGCAATGCGTGAAGAAACCAAGCAGCCTGGAAGCGGAGCACATTTGGTCTATATGGGAGGCCTTCTTCTTCTTGGGCTGGTCTAGCTATAGCTCTCCTAGTATCAAGGTTTCCTTCAAGTGCGTCGTACGGGATAGTAGTGTATTAAGCGGAAAAATCAAATATTTCGACATAATCAAAATTGGTTCTTTTCTGAGATTGAACCGGCTTGATAAAATACTGTGTGTCTTTTTTCAGAATCAATGTGATATTAATAACACTTCTCTCAAAACTTAATGTAAATATAAAAAGTCATTACTTGTTCCATTAAAGATCATAGTAAATGTTTGTGAGACATATATTTGATGCAACATTTGTACAGTTTGTTGATCAGATGTAGGGTAACTGATTTTCCAGGTCCACGTGTTACAAGGGAGGTCTGGGCGATTCTATAATTGGCTTGTTCAGGTCTAGGTTAAGCTACCTAAGACTAAGAAGAGTTAGGTTATTGAGAAAGTGTGTTGCTATGCAACAAGGAAGTAACATATGTTATATTTGGGATTACACTTTCATAGTAGAGTACAGATTCTGGTACTTTTGTTGGGCTGAGTCCCATCCGGGATTCGAACCCACACCCACAGAGTCAGGCACGTAATCGCTAGCACACAAAGTCAGCCGCCTAACCCGCTCAGTCACATACAGTACAACCAGAAATTATTGAGAATTTAAAGATTGTAATTTTTTTATTTTTTTCACTCATGACTCACGTATTAAATTAATGTGAATATTAGCAGAACATAACTCAAGATTCAAAGACAGGTTAACAGTTGTCAAGTCACCATGGGCAGCAATGCAGGCTTCAATGCGGCGTGGCATACTACTGATCAATGAAGTTAGAAAGTCGTGGTCCATGCTGTCCCAATATCGGACCACCTCTTCTTTCATTTCAGCAATATTTGTCAGATTTTTCTTATTGACACTTTCCTTCATAAGTCCCCAAACATTTTCTATTGGATTTAGGTCAGGGCTATAGCTTAGCCAATCTAATAATGTCATATTTTGGGTCCGAAACCAGGCCTGTGAATGCTTTGAACGATGTTTTGGGTCGTTGTCCTGCTGGAAAATCAAAAATTTCAATAGAACACGTCAGCAAATGGAAGTAAATGTCCCTCGAGAATATCTGTGTACTGCTCACTGTTCATATTCCCTTCAAATACACAGAGGGGGCGTTGCCCCTAACACAGATATGCCACCCCACACGTTAACTTTCAGACTGTACTTTGGGCGCTGATATAAAGGTTTTTCAGTTTGTTTAGTCCAGCATTTCAGTGTATTAGGAAACAGCCAAACAGAACTTTCATCTGAGAAAATCACATTGTCCCAGTTAAAATTTCTATGCTGTAAGCACCAGTTCAACCTTCGCTCCTTTTGTTCAGGTTTCATGATCGGTGATGGAATTCCTCGACTTTCCTGCCAACCCATTGCATGCAGCTCAGTTCTAATTGTCTCCTTAGAGACAGCCACAGTTCCTCTATCAATCATATCTAGCCTTAAGTTTTCTAAACTCCTTCGTTTGTTTTTTAGAAACAAGAATACCATGTCGCCTCCTGTCACCGACAGTCAATTTCTGGGCCTACCTGCGCCTCCTTGGTGCTCAATGTCATATACATTTGCAATATTTGTCAAAACACGATAAACAGTGGACAAAGGGATGCCTGTTTCTATTTGAAATCACTTCAGCTGATCTGATGTCCTTGTTATAATACTCTAAAATCAACTTCCTCTTCTCTAAATCATCCATACTGAGGATCACTGAAAATGTCGTCTGCTAGCAAGTAAACAAAGAGGGATAACTCTTCACAAACTAATGAAAAAGGATTAACGGAGTTGTCTCTCTTGAATGAAACCAAGCACTTGAAAGCTGGTCAATCCAATTAAACATATTCCTAAAATTCTCAATACTTTCTGGTTATACTATATGTTACATTTGACCACTTTCTAAATGGCATTGTGTATTCATAGCGACAAGGAACGTCTAGGATAAGCTATGAATGCCAATGTTGCTGTGTAGATGCTACAAGGAAGGTCTCGGATAAGCTATGAATGCCATTGTTGAGATGTAGATGCTACAAGGAAGGTCTAGGATAAGCTACGAATGCCATTGTTGAGATGTAGATGCTACAAGGAAGGTCTAGGATAAGCTATGAATGCCATTGTTGAGGTGTATATGCTACAAGGAAGGTCTAGGATAAGCTATGAATGCCATTGTTGAGGTGTATATGCTACAAGGAAGGTCTAGGATAAGCTATGCATGCCATTGTTGAGGTGTATATGCTACAAGGAAGGTCTAGGATAAGCTATGCATGCCATTGTTGAGGTGTATATGCTACAAGGAAGGTCTAAGATGTAGAACTACAAGGAAGGTCTAGGATAAACTATGAATGCCATTGTTGATGTGTATATGCTACAAGGAAGGTCTAGGATAAGCTATGCATGCCATTGTTGAGGTGTATATGCTACAAGGAAGGTCTAGGATAAGCTATGCATGCCATTGTTGAGGTGTATATGCTACAAGGAAGGTCTAGGATAAGCTATGCATGCCATTGTTGAGGTGTATATGCTACAAGGAAGGTCTAAGGTGTAGATAATACAAGGAAGGTCTAGGATAAACTATGAATGCCATTGTTGAGGTGTATATGCTACAAGGAAGGTCTAGGATAAGCTGTGAATGCCATTGTTGAGGTGTAGATGCTACAAGGAAGGTCTAGGATAAGCTGTGAATGCCATTGTTGAGGTGTAGATGCTACAAGGAAGGTCTAGGATAAGCTATGAATGCCATTGTTGAGGTGTATATGCTACAAGGAAGGTCTAGGATAAGCTATGCATGCCATTGTTGAGGTGTATATGCTACAAGGAAGGTCTAGGATAAGCTGTGAATGCCATTGTTGAGGTGTAGATGCTACAAGGAAGGTCTAGGATAAGCTGTGAATGCCATTGTTGAGGTGTATATGCTACAAGGAAGGTCTAGGATAAGCTATGCATGCCATTGTTGAGGTGTATATGCTACAAGGAAGGTCTAGGATAAACTATGAATGCCATTGTTGAGGTGTATATGCTACAAGGAAGGTCTAGGATAAGCTGTGAATGCCATTGTTGAGGTGTAGATGCTACAAGGAAGGTCTAGGATAAGCTGTGAATGCCATTGTTGAGGTGTAGATGCTACAAGGAAGGTCTAGGATAAGCTATGAATGCCATTGTTGAGGTGTATATGCTACAAGGAAGGTCTAGGATAAGCTATGAATGCCTTTGTTGAGGTGTATATGCTACAAGGAAGGTCTAGGATAAGTTATGAATGCCATTGTTGAGATGTATAT